AAAATAAGAAAGCAGATAGTTTTTGAAATGTTTTATTTCCTGAATCTTAAAAGTATCAGTACATCATGTATTCCTTTGATTTCATCTCTGTTGTTAAATTTACAATAGTTCATACGATCCTAACATTTATTTTTTAATGTGCTTCATCTGTTTTTTTTAGCAGACTCATCTGGGGTCTTAATACTTTTTTTTTTTTTCTGCCCCAGTGATATGACAAGAACAGTGGAGATTTCTGGGGAAGGGGGCCCCTTGGGAATACATGTAGTGCCCTTCTTTTCATCTCTGAGTGGAAGGTAAGATGTTTTTCTTATATCAAAAGCTCATGCTAATGAAAAACGACCTGAGCTCTTTTTCCAAAACATTTTTCAAACGAAGATTAAATGTGTATCTTTGTTATTCAGATGGACAACTCAAGATAATATGTTGGACATTTATGTATTAAAAACAAAATAAAATCATTTACTTCTAGCATGCAAAGGAAAAGAAAAAAAAATAAATCACCGTTTCTGCATTTGCAATTAATTATCTACTTTCTTAAAGTATGCTTGTCAGTAATACATAGTAAACAGAATCCTTGGAGGAAAATTTAATATGTTAGATGAATATTGCAACTGAAGTTTTTAATGTTCTAAAATACACTTTGACAAGTGACTATAGTAATTCCAAACTGATCTTCCCTGATATTCCTCAATTGCTTTAGAATAATAAATAATATAACATTATAAGTAGCTATATCTGAATCTATGTGTGTTTTGATGATTTTAGCTATGGTAGCAAAATGCCATCATGCTATTTATTTTTTTCCAAAATAAAACACGATCAGTTAAACATAATTTGCCACGTCCTTTTGAAATGTTAGACATTGGATTGCTAACTTCACACTGGCAAATGGTAATTTAGATTATGTCAGCATTTCTTGAAATTCATGTCTACCTAACTGGGTACTGATGGAAATTAAAGTGTGTGCCCAAGAGTTAATATTAACACTGTTATAACAACCATACAAAACTAGTATTAGATACTATGTCATTTTCCAATAAGATAACTGCCTTTAGCACTAGATTGATATTGACAAGGACTATCAGAGACTTAAAAGAAAATCAGTTTCTCATTCATATGACATGAGTTTAATTAGTTTGCTAAATTTGTTTCCTTAAATGAGATGCATCATTGAAAGGGCGGAACGTCTTCTCTTAGCTTAGGAAATCCAAGACCAGAAGAAGTCCATTAATTTTCTCTACGGTCACACAAAATCCAGATCTCCTGACTTATTCTCACTCCATTGCTCTTCCTAAAACAAAAAATTTCCCAAAGGTTATATAGTATTCATTTACTGGTTCTGAATATTTATTCAGTTCAGCCTGCCATATAGCAGGAAGAGCAGATTTAGTCATGATATTTTGGTTGGCATCATTTTCAGCAGGTAGCCATCTGCTACCTGTAATTGCAAAGTCATCACCTTTTTTTGCAAATAACATCTGATGCCAAGCTGTTGCTGGAATGAATGTTCCTTAAAAAGAAATGAACTGGAACGCTAGTGGCTCTTACTGTCTCATTTCCTGTATGTGTTAATAAGCGTATTTATAAATGTTATGGGTGATGGCACAGGACAAGCTGAGGTTGTTTTTGATAGACAGGGACAGTATTTACCCAGTTGTCATGAAAAATCCTAATGGCTTTTGGCAGACCGGCACTGATAGAGCTTTGTGAAATACCAGAGCGGTTAAATTACCAGGCCCTTTAGCTTAATGAATCTGGAATAGAACACAGGATCATCCCAATTTGCAAAACATGAAGAAATATACAATGTGACAATCACCATACTTCGTGTTCAATAGTTGGAAAAACAAGGTGATCCTATAGCCCTGAAATCACCTCATCTCACTTCAAATGAGGGAAACGCTAGAATTTATTGATTTCCCCTCTTCTCCTTCCTGGTTTGGATTTCTAGCATAACCCTTGTAGCATAGTAGAAAGAGCACTGGACTTCAGAACAATTGGATTTGAATCTCAGTGTTCTCTTTTTTATAACCTTGTGCAAGTCCCCTAAATTTGCCTCCTGTGAAGACCTATTTCACATCAAGGTTGTGGGGATTAAATGCCATTAAAAATGTGAAAGCTCCTTGTAAACCCACACCATATGAATGTGTGGATTATTATTATTTTGGCTAAGACAGAAAAGCTTATTTCAACAATGAACTTTTATAAGTTCATGGTCAACTTTTCAGTAACTTGGTGAAATAGTTGTATTTTTTTTTTTTTGCTCTCCACTAGTATTATAGAAAGGAAATTTAATTAAAAAACATAAAAAATAATATGGAAGTGGAGACATGAGCCAATAAAAGTTAAGAAGTAATGAGTACAGGCTGAAACAGCACACTTAACTCAACCCATGTGTCTAGATGCAACTGAGTGTAAAGCGTGTTAGACAAGTGTCTGACTTCATAATGCCATATGGTTTCACTGTGTGAGCAGGGGTGGGGGTGACTTAAGGTCATAATGGCATACTTAGTTCTTAATTTCCTTCCATTTATTGGTTTGTGTCATTATTTTAAATTAGAATTTACATTTAATTATTTACTAGGACTACTGTAATTGGCTTTGCCCCCAGCTTTTTTTTTTTTTTTTTAGAAAAATACTGCCACACCTGTTGTTGAATTAGAAACCTAATCTAAATTAGAATACCCTGAGTACAATACAGTGGCTGCTGTATTAGATAAAGCCTCAGTGGATTCATTAGCTATCACAGCTCAGGGTGCTCAATGCCGCAGCTTGCATGGAGGGCCATTGGCTTGCACAGTAAAAACAAATACAAAAAACCGAGTTCCTGCAAGTGAAAAGCAACTTAATTTCATTTTAAAAAGCAAAATCAATGTGGTTTTGTTTCAGAATTAAAAGCATGCAATCTAATTGTTTTTCAGTAAATACAAATAGCGTACCTCAGTTTCATAGTAAAGACAGCTAAATATGAGTGAGAAGAAGGAAGGAGTGGGTGAAGAGTGACACATCCTCGTAGTGCGAGAAGAGCAGATGTTTACATAGAAATGTTAAGCTAGGAGAGAGGTTGAAGCCACAGGATGCAGTGGGGAGAATGTAAGGGGGCGAGGGAAGGGTGGGTTTGTGCCTAAACGAGTATCAGAAGACCAAGATGCAATCATTGCCCCTCTTATTCGGCAGGGCAGTAGATGTCTGCTTCCTTTCTCACTGCTCGTTAATGCAAATTCATTGGTTTGTCTCAGTTTATAACTCCTTGACAGCGTTCATCGTTAAATCCTGAGAAAGTTGGCCTCACATGAAATCGTTACTGCAGCCCACCAGTTTGGGGCAAAGTGGATAGATAGATTCTTTTCTGAGCCTTCTCATACTGGCCTGGATGAAATCACACTGGAGAGAACCCGTTCCTTCCGTGGGATAGAGGAGGCAAGAGTGGTTTGCTAAGGACCAAACTAATAAAATCAGTCAGTTTTACATTTTACCAAAATTACCTCTGACACATGGCTTTTACAGTTGGGCTTATTCTGTCAATAAATTTTTCATGGAAAGTTGGGTTATTTAGATCAGTGAGGTTCACATAGCATACTCCAGCTGTATTATGCCAGCTAAATTGCAACCCAGTGGCCTGAAAGAATTAATTCATCTCCCAAAATGTGAAATTAAATCCTAGGGAGTAACATTACATGACTGATGATGTACTGAATTAAATTAAAGGAAGACGTGAATGCTTGTTAAAAAAATATCGCTTACATAAACTAGTTTATAACCACATGTGACTCTCCTAATGGATCATGTTATTGTGAATCCATCATAGCAAAAAAATTCCAAAATGCCAACTATTAGAGAGTTTTTTAATTTAGGAAAGCCACACGACTTTGTTCTAGTTCCTTTTTTTTTTTTTNTGAACTGAAAAGCCAGCGGCTCTTAATCATACTAATAGCTGATAGTTATTGAACCCCTTGTATATAACAAATAGCTTATATATGATGTATATGTTACGTTCTCTTTTTTTTTTTTAATTTAAAACAAACAACTCTGTTAGGGATTTATCTGAATTTCCTCATTGTACAAATAAAGGAACTGATAAATTTGATCTTAGTTTAAATGATTTACTCAGGTACCTGATTCAGTCACCACTAAATCCTAATTCCATAAATGAATCATGATTTCCTTCTGAAAAGAATCTCCCCATCGCTGTCCTCCGTCCTGTCTCCTCCTCACCTAAACGAGTGGCCTGTCACTGCGTTGAATAATCATAATGTTAAAAATACTGTCCACTTGCCATCTGTGAAGAGATTACAAATGTCTGCAACTCCTGTGGTATGCTCTCCCTCAAGCTTCATGTTTTCTGGGTGGAATCAAATGAAGCACTTTCCATGAAGTTCTTGCGTAGTAGCCATTCATGATAGACATTTTTTCAACCACTGATTCTGTGCCTTCATCCATTGTTTTATCCTAAACCTTTATATAGGTAATAGCTGACTCCATTGATTATTTGAATCATTTTGGCAATTGGATCTTAGAATGTTTAGCTTGCTTAATACTATCGGACTTAATGCTTTGTAACTACCTGCTTTTGTTTTCATAAATCATACAAAATTGTATAAAGTTAGGTATTTTTACCAAATGAAATCTTCCAACTTCTCTTTCTATAACTGAAATACTTTCTTTTACCCCACAGTTCATTTTTTAGTCAATATTTCACAAGTAGCTGTCAATTCTTTTTTCTTTCTACTATTAGAATACCCCTTTCGCTTCATTTTATACGTTTTCCGTTCACATCCACCTCCAATACATAAATAAATGTGTGCATACCCTGCTCACTGTTCCCAGAACTCTGTTCTGTAGCTTACCTGAGCAAACACCATTAATAGCATATTGTAACATCTTAGTAAAATCTCATTTTATGAGATATTGTGTCCAGCTGTATGTGATGTGTTTGTCTTCCATGAACAATGTATATACAGAGATTTCTGCCAAACTCCACCAAGTATGTGTATATAACACTGAGGATTTGTTTGTTTGTTTGTTTTCTTTTAAAGTAAAAAGTATATGGACTGGTCTCTGAGTCTTCCTCTTTTAAAAAGATTTTCTTTCCATCTTGAAACAAATAATGGATAACAATTTAGAGAGCATGGTGAAACCCGGTCTGTATAAAACTTATAAGGCTTGTCTATATTAAAGAGATCTAATTTTCTATAAGTACCTACATATTGCAATCAACAAAATTGAAAGTCTTTTATGCTTTTTTTTCTGGGATAATATTTTCAAGATAGTAATTTAACAGTTGTCAAATATT